AAGACATCCGAAGTTCTGTTAGCACCTAATCTCTTAGTTTTGGTCTGTTTTCCCTTGATACATTCAATACATACATCAAAATCTGTGAAGTCAAGGGAATCCAAAATACCATCTGACACAAGTCGTTCAACTCTAGCTTTTGAGATGTGACCTAAGCGCTTGTGCCATAATTTTGCTGAATTTTCTTCATTTAATTTGCGTTTAGTATCACGTGATTCCACATGTAAGGTTTCATTATATGATGCAACAATATAAAGTCAATATAGGTTATCATATATACATAATGAATCGGTACCAATAACATTGGAATTTAATGAAAAACTAAACTGATTGTTTCCAAATAAACAATAGTATCTAGATTGTCCAACAAAGAAACATAAACTAAATTCTGTCTAAAAGATAGTACAACAAAGGTACCTGTCAAATCCAAATAATGACCAATTCCCAATAACAACCTAAAAATACATATTACATCAACTTCCACCGATTCACCATCACCTACATAGATGTATCTTCTACCATCATTTGACTTTCGGTAGCTCAAGCGCCCTGTACAGAAACACTTATGTAGTAGCACCAGAATCTAATTACCAAGTGTTTCTAGGTATTAAAGCTAAATTAACCTCAAAACAGACCAAAGTAAGGATTGTACCTTTCTTTGCATGCCAAGCGTAATATTTGGTACAATCATTCTTCACATATCCAGTCTTATTGCAAAGGAAACAAGTCTCATTGTCTTCCTGTCATTTCTTTTGTGCTGAACCCTTAGGAGCAGCTTCATATTCCTTTTTCTTTTTCTTGCCCTTATCATTAGAAGTGCTTGTCAAGTGAGCGCATTTAATTCTTTCTTGCTTCAACATTTCTTCCTCTTGCACGCAATATGAAATGAGATCATTTAGAGACCATTTCTCCTTCGGCAATTATAACTTATCCTAAATTGACTGAATTGTGCAGGAAGCGAGATCAACACCACCTGTACGAGCAAGTCATCAGACAGCTCGAGCTTTAGTGCCTTAAGTTTAGAAGCAATATGAGACATCTCCGTGATGTACTCCCTTATATTTCTT